AGATTCTTCTAGTTCGTTAGGGATGGTTTCTGCTTAAACCTTTTCCCTTTTTCTCTCTCTCTTGATGCTCTTTTCTTTTTTCTTTTTTTTTGGGCGTCTCTAGTGGTCCTTTTGTTTGGGTTTCTCCCCATGTTTCTTTCATTGGTCATTTTGTTGGTATTGGTTTATTACCTCGGTGCGTACGCTCTTTCTTTCTTTTGCTTCCCTTTGACTTTTGTCTCTCGCTTGTCTTCGTGGGTGTGTCCGCTTCGCCAAACAGGGTTCAGGATGACCTAGCCAAACTTATCTGGTCAACAACTTGCGTTGTTCTGAGACTCTTCACTAGTTCGCTGTCTTTTCTCTCGTATGCTCCTCGCTCGCTTTGAATCACATTTGACTGACAGGTTATCTCCCTTCCATTCTTATTACGTTTGCATAAACAGGCCCATTCTCTCGATGCTAGACCCCATCCACGTTTCATACGCATTTTTCTCTTTTTTAATTGCGCACGACCACGACCACGACAGACATCTCAATCTCATAGAGCACAATTCACGATCACCCATGGACTTTTTTCACATCTTCCTTTGCAATGCCCTACACCCTACGCGCTAGTACCTCTATCTGCACCCCCTTAATTGGCAAGACTTCACCTCACCTCATCGTGACCCGCAACACGACTATTCTCCCGTGCAAAGCTAGCTCTCCTTGGGTTCTCCCGCCTTCTCATGTCATATCTCTTTCTCTCTATCTCTCACCCTCTCACCCTCCTCGCGTTTTCATCGTTCCGTAGATATGGGTTCCGTTTCCGCTGTTTATGTATTTATCTATTTCTCTCCACGCGTCCTCTTTTCTCTTTTTTCAAATTTCCTTTCCCCATTCTCACATACCTAGTCTCCATCGTGTTATGGCCTCATGTTCGCTGCTACACCTCCTAGTTCTCCCCACCATATACTTACTTGTAACAACCAAGCTCTCCCCGTCTATCGTAAATACAGCATGTAGTTATTGCTGTTGACGGGGCGTCTATTATTCTCGCTTTCCATCTCTTTCTCTTTTTCTCTCTTTTCTACTTTTTTACTCCTTGTTGCCGTCTTACAGCTTGCATACTACTCGCATACGCATTTTTACCTGGCATTCTTCCTTTCCCTTCCTGTCTTCCCTTCCCGTTCCGTCGCATTCCGCTTTCCCCTGGACTTTTTTCCCTTCCTTCCTTTTCCTTTTCCCTCGCTGGCAGATGACCCTTCACAGATGACCCACTTCCACAAGCTTTGGGAGAGGGTGTCTTCGTTTCTAGGGGTCGTTTCGAGGGGGTCTTTTTTGTATCTCCGACTAGTACCATACATATATTTCTTCCTTCTGAAGGTTCTTTTAGCATACCTTTACCCTCCCTCTGGGTATCGAGGAAAGAAGCTCAACGATTTCCTTTTCTTTTGATCTTTTCTCCATTTAGGGCTCAGCAGGCTGTGTGTGCGTGTGCGCGCGTCGCATGATGTATGCGTGTATGCGTGTATGCGTTGCGTGCATCATAACAGTACATCATACACCGTCATTTCGACGCCGTTGTTTTGAACTCTTTCGACAATTTCCCGCTGGACGGCCCCATTTCCTTGGTTCCTTTCCCGCATCGCTATACGCGCGCGCGTCGCCCCCCTCTTTCTTGTTTAAAAAACCCTTTTTTTGCTTGCAATTGTTTCGCTATAGCTTGACAACTAACAGCTTTTTCGTTGGACAATGAGTCTTCAGTTTAATGACTCGGGTTTTTTTGATGGGACTGGGTGATTTTGGTGCCTTTGGAGGGCGGTTCCTGGAGCCGAGGACTAAGGGTCGGGGTTTGACATATGTGGATGTGTTATGGACAGGACGGGATAGGATAGGACAGGACGGAAGATGATGATGATGGGAATGATGGGATGACGCCGTGACTGCTACAGCGCCTGGAGCGCTAATGTTTTACGTATGCGTATATATGCACCTTTTGTATAAGTAGTAGAAAGTTTTGGACATTGGCAGCTCTCCTTTTTTTTGCTTTGTGTATTTGTATCGATTTTCTTTTCTCCTTTGCTCCTTTGCCCCTGCTAGTACATATATATCACTAGTGCATACTTGCTGTCTCCTTCTCCTTTTTCTCTTTTCACCTTTTCACGTACTTACCCTGACACATTGCATCCTCATTGCTTTTGGGTTTTCCCCCCTCTCTTATTCTTCTCATACATACTTATCATTTGATTGTATTGTTAGTTGCGGTACCTGTGTTATTTAGCTAGCCTAGGTTTGCATAACTTGCTATCGATTGCTTTTTTCACTCCCTTGTTTTTACTTAGCGAAAAGCTTTCAGAAAACTTGGAAATGTGACCTCCTTGAGATGATCAGGCTTGAGAGTGACCCGAGCTCGCGCTTGGCCACTGATTGCATCTTGATTCTAGGGCCTTTCTCGGACTCTTTGGGTTGGCATTCTTCATACATGCGGAAGACGCGTTCCCAAAATAGAAGGTTCACTTGATCACGCAATTATCATGCTTTTTTGACCTGCGACACGTCATCTGGTTGCTTACCTTGCTACTCCCTCCTCGGAGTCCTCCCATCCCTTCTTATTTCCTTTTTGCTAGTAAACACTCGACGACTAGTATGACGGTCCTAGATCCCATTACGTCCAAGAAGCCATACATCGTTTTTGGATACGGGTCTCTTATCTTCAAGGTAGGTTTCAGTTTGAACGTGCCAGTGGATCGATATCGTTTTTCTTTTGTTCTTCCGTTCCGTTTTCCGTTCTGTTCGCGATCCCAACAAATTTGAATCGAAATCAAAAACTGACGGTTGTACTTTTATCGATATGAACGATATGAACGATATGAACGATGTGGATATTTTCTTCAAATGCGGTTTTGCGAACGTGCGTTTTAGCCTCCTCCTCATGTTATTGCACAAGGTAAGGTGTGCTGGTATTGTCAGAACGGATCGATGAGTTCTCAGTACTTATGGGTATCACAGTTCCAGGTTTCTTAAAAGGATACGTTCGTCGATTTGCGCAGATGTCACATGATCATAGAGGGACACCAGAGGTAAGTTTGACAGCCTGAGCCTGATTCTCGTCTTCCGTACTATTTTAGATTGGAAATGCTCTGCCTTTCTTTTCCTCAAACAAGAAGCTTATTATACATACAGCATCCAGGTCGTGTCGTGACACTAATACACAAGGAAGACTGGGACAAGTTCTCTGCTTCGGTAACTCGTCGCTTCTGTCTTCTTACTCTCTATCTGCATTGTTAATTCCCGTTTCTTGATACGTTTGTAGGATCCATTCCCTGATGAAGATGTCGTCTGGGGTACGTACTCCTACGTATTACTAGCTCTTTGCTAGTCTCCACTAAGATCTCTAACACACGTATAGGTGTAGCGTATACAATAGACCCAGTATACGAATCCGAAGTCCGCGACGATCTAGGTAGGGTTTAATCAAATCCAAGATTGAACTGTGAATGGATACCAAAAACCTTCCTATTTTTTCATTCTTTCGAAAACCAGACTATCGAGAAAAGGTGGGGACTATTTCCTCCTTGTTGAAAAGCTCTCTATTATACATCATCTTCCTCATTCCACCCATCCGACCCCTTTTTCTTTAATATGTCATGCGTCCTGCGCCCATACGGGGTTGGTCTCATACTATCGTCAACAGGACGGATACACCTTAGAATCAATCGACGTATACGGCTTCGACGATGACGGGAACGAGAAAGTTGTTTTACATGATGTACGTGTCATTCAAAGTTCGAATTGATTTCTGAATACCATTATCTCTTTAATCAAAGCAAAGTACTAATTGGTTTTCTTTCCTCGTTATCTTCTAGGTCCAAGTACGTAAGATCTTATTCCTCCTAGGCCTTACCCTTGTAGCTGGCTAACTTCAACATTCGCGGCATGTGTTTGGCTATCCGTCTATATATTTATGCTTGAAAGTGCTACGTCGGTCGAAACGATAATCCCTCCTTCAGTAAGTGATTATTTCATTGATTTACGTTTTGATACACAGTATACCAACATCTGAATACCTTTTTTCGTTTTCTTTTTCGATTTCCTTTTAAACAGTCGGCTCCGAACCTCTAGACGAACTCGCTCACAAGATATGGGAATCAGTGGGGCCTTCTGGGAAGAATAAAGTTCGTTCGTTTGTTCGTTCGTTCGTTTATTCACTGGTTTCTCTTTTCTCTTTTCCGTCAATTTTGTTCCTTTTTGGGACGAAACGAGAAACCTTTTTGAGTTTTACTACAAAAAAACTCGGCTCATGCCTCTTCCTTCCCCTCACTCACTTATTTGTTTATCGTTTCCCAAACTCTTAGGAATACCTCTACAACCTCGTCGAAGCGGTCCGTAAACTCGCTCCTGAATCTCGCGATTCACATTTATATGCGCTTGAAGTGAGTACTTGTTTTTTTGGGAATCGGGCCCGTCATTATACCTGTTTTTCTCTAAACTTGTTTTAATTCTGACGTCTTTTTTTCCTCATTCGTCCTTACTTGGATTTCGTTGACATTGCAATACACACATGCTTTGTTACTTTTCATTTGGAAACTCGGAATTTGGAAACTGAAGACGCGGGTAAAGGCTTTAGATGCGGAGTAAGGTGACAACTCTTCGTAGAAAAAGAATTGATACGTGTATTTACTTAGAAACTTTTTGTTTTCGTTTCTTCCTTTGTGTATGCGTGTATTTTGAGCGGATTGAACTCACACTATAGAAGGATATTCAATACTGACCTAGAGAGTTGATCAGTAAAGAGACTTCATCGAGATTGAAAGTTTGTACATGCACCATAAATGCTACTGAGGAACCTAGGCTTTTTGAGACGTCGGCACTAATTATAAAAGACATAAAGATTGGGATTCTCGAGTATTCTTCCATCTTCCGTAGGTCGATTCAGAATGTACTTACTTTTAGACTGAGTATCTAGTTCTTGAGTTACCCAAACTTTAGTTAAAGAAAAAAGACCATCAAACAAAAGTGAACTTGGGTTCTCCACTTTATTCCATCGCGGGGAATCGAACCCCGGGCTGCTGTGTTCTCCTACATATTTTTTCATGAAAGACAGCAATGTTAGCCACTACGATCCTTAAGGGTCCCCGCATGTTGCGGAGCCGTGTATTCTACCTACCTACCTACCACGATGGAGTCACTTGTGGCCTTTGGAGGTTGTAGATAGCTCCTTCGTAAGGCTTTTGGAGATCAAAAATATGGCAGACCCGTCTCTTCGGTTTACTGTCACGGAGGAAAGTGAGCATTCAGGCTAATCATTCAGGAAAACAATTTTGAAATTTGCTACATTTTTCAGGCGGGATTTTATGTAAATTTTATCTCACAAGTGTGTTACAGGTAGGTAGGTACATACTTAGGTACGCATCAGAGACGCGCGGAACCATAAAGGTGTACTTATATCTGGGTGCAAAGAACAGACAGAACTCTTTTATCAATACAAACTATTATGTAGGAAATCGATTCTCCCTGGTTTTTTATTTACCCAATTAACGACATTTAAGCTGGCCCTTTGTCTGAGCAATTTGTGTCCTCGACGTTTTCATTGAGTAGTGGTGCCTTATTCATTTGGCATTCTATATCGACGTGTTATAGCCCATCTGCAACTACAGACGGCAGTTTATTGACGTCAGTACTATGAGTTTGGTCTTAGCTTTCAGTTTCAGAATGTTGTACTTACAGTCGGGTAAATTGTGTATACATAATCGTGCGCGCGCGTTGCCGTTTTTTTTTTTGGACAATGCCATTCAATACAGGCTCAATGGCTTCAGGTCCAGTTGGCAACTACTCTACCTGCGCGCACACAATGTTGTTCCGTTTCCGAAATATTGGGGTGATCCTTTGTGGTAGATTAGTGATTGTCGTTAAGCTGCCCTCTCCTAGTAGACAGCTAGCTTGTCACATTAATAGTTTCGTCCACGTCAAAGAAGAGACATTTTTCTCCATCCGAGTTAAATCCTGTTAAATCTGATAAACATAAACTACGCCGCATTCCTGCGGGAATCACATACATACAGTTCCTTGCAGTGAAAAAGGATTTCGGAATTAGCAGTGGTATTTATATGTATTCAATTATGATAATGATTTCGAGGGCCATCAAATCATCAAAACAATTCATTCGTTGTTGTATCAAGGCACTGCATGGTAGAAACTACTGAACAACATTAAGGCTAGTTTGAATAGCGAACGAGAAGGCAGTGCAACCCAAGATCGACAAGGGAAGCAATCCGGCGCATCAGTACTGCAGACGCGATGTTTGGACCGCAGTTGTGTATGAATGGAATTTGATGAACGCCAATATGAGTATTACAGAAAATGTCTCTCAAGCGTTTCCAACTACAAAGTCGAAACTGCGGGTGGGCGGCCTGCGGCGGTTCACTCGGACATTCATAAGAGCTAGCCACCTACGTTATAAAACCCAATCCAGCCACTTACACTGAACAATCAAAGTCTATCCTTTCTCATAAAAAACAGCTTTCGAGTCCACTCCTTTATTCTTCTATCTAATTAACGCCTTTTAATAATCAAACTTTCCTCTAGTATGTTTGATACATACTCCACCTTTCTCATTTCCAGAGCGGAGCAGGCCTCCAATTCGACCAACTTGGAAAACAATGGGCTTCTTCCCGAAAGTCCATATGGATACAAGCCCAATCTTGGCGCTGGAGTATTTTTCCTGCTGCTTTTCGGTCTCTCTACTGGTGAGTAATTAATTTTCAACAAGTCTTTGATCTCTTCTTCCATACAGAATCGTTATTTACTTACTTATCTACTGCTATCAGTCATTCACTGTGGACAATCCATCTTCTACCGTCGCTGGTTCCTTCTCTACACTGTCGTCCTCTCGGGTATATTGGAAGTAGCTGGATGGTACGGTCGGGTTTGGTCAAGTCAGGACGTTTTAAAGAGTACTCCTTACATGATACAGTCAGTCATATTTTCAAAAACTCGTGCTCGTTTGGAGCTTCGTCTCTGTACGGAATGGACCTTAACAAAAACATACTCTTTTGTTCGCAGAATCGTGTGCACGATAATTGCTCCCACGCCGCTCTTAGCTGCGAACTTCGTGATCTTTGGCCGCATCATCCGGAGGCTTGGGACTACGTACAGTAGATTGAGACCCAGGTTGTGTGAGTATCTCATCTTTCAGTTCAATTATTCATTGAATGAAATTCACCTGGATTTCTTTTCTGATAGACACCAAGATCTTCTTCTCCTGCGTAAGTAATTTTATTCCAAAGATTGACTTAATCAAACCTATGTATCTATTTATTTATAGGACGTGATTGCTCTTATTGTCCAAGCTGCCGGGGGTACGATTGCTTCTGGAGATTCAAAGCCCAAGAATATTCTTGATCTCGTAAGTTGAACCACGTTTTGAATGATATGGCTCCCGTCTGGACAATGTTTTATTTACTAGGGGACTCATGTCATGTTGGCCGGTATCATCTTCCAACTCAGTGAGTTGGCAAATTTGTTTTTTTTATCTCTACATTGTTGAATATCCTTGACACTAACATCTCCACTGCTCACAGTTATCATCACATGTTTCTCTGTCTTGGCCTGCGACTTTTGGAGGAGATACTCCCGAGACAAACCTCTAAGGTCACTGAAAGATTCAGACGAAACACCCCGAGGATTTATGGGAAGGAAACTACAACTTCTCCTCTATGCTCTCATAACTAACACTTCGGTTCTTTACATTCGGTGAGTTATCACTGTAGACTATTTTACCTTTATTTATCGGAGTGCTAATAACGGAACAAAATAGTGCGATCTACAGGACTGCCGAACTCGCAGATGGATTCCAGGGGAAGATCATCACCACCGAGTGGTTATTCAGTAAGTCCAAGTGATACACGTGTCCGAGTATACGCTGAACACCATGCATGAACACAGTCGTGTTTGACGCACTCATGGTCTTCCTCGCGATGTTCATCTACAACATTTTCCATGTCGGCAGACTTATGGAAAGTGAAGACGAGTTTAAATTTCACTTGAAGCTTCCAAACAACTCCTCAAGCGAAACGAACGTAAATCTCATGTACATGCCGAAGGGCGATCTTTCGGACAACTTGAAAGGGCGTTCAATGGTATAAAATCCACCGGTGGTTTATGTTCACAACTTGATGATGTTGGACGAGTGCGGTGGAGCTTGTTTACATATATATTTATTGAGTATAGGTAGTTTGATATTTATGTATGTTTCGGAGCAGGTACATAGTGCAGTTTTATGAACTATTATTCTTGCACCGAAAGCCAGTCGAGTGTGATGCTTTTTCTCGGCTCACGACCCGCTCATGAATCATAGGCTACGGAGGGACCGTACCGTTCATTTCATCTGCAGCTTTGCACTGTGGCTATGCTAGATAGATACCTCCGAGAACCATCCGATCCTACATCATTGACAAGAAACTTTTCACACAAGGCCGACCGAAGGAAAGACTCGTCTTTACTAAACCCCTTCGCTTAGCATTGCTTGTGACATTCCCATTAGGCAAATCTTATCACATTCTTATCGTGATGAATTAACACACCGTTAAGTAACCCTTGCATGGGGATCCTCACAGCAGGTGTAATCCCTTATGCCGACTTACCGGAGCCGGAATCCGACATGTCATGCAGCTCTGTAGACTGTGACCTTATGGATGGCCTCGTACTTGCCACGCGAAGCGATGGCCCACTTCCTTTAATGTAACAATAACCCACTTTAACAAAAAAGCTATGGGATTGTATGAACGTACTTTCGAAGTTGTTACAGGAGGTTACCATTACTACTTCCACTATTCTTTGGGCGACAAGTTCCTTGGTCCAACTTCCTTCGTATGATGACTTCGTGGAGTTCTTTTTTCACCAATCGGTTTCTTAAAAGAACTTTTTCACATATGTGTTCCCATTTGGACTGGAAGGCATCGACTTTCCCGACCCGGTACAGTTGACGTCAACTTTTGTATTTATGCACAGTAGAAACAATTTTTCAACGTCAGCGTAATTGTTCATCTTCAGGAGAACCTCGTTTTATACAGAAAACTGGACATTTGAATCAACTAGTATAGGAGGGCGGTGGTAATCCGACTGCACTACCCCTCTCAATTGAGACTGACCTCATATCCAGATTCTTCCTTCCAACATTTCTGCTTCCTGAAATACTGCTGACGACATATCCAGAATCTGATGTGTCTTCATTCAGTTGTATCCTAGAGGATACTTGACTGGATAATACGAAAGGCTCGATTCTATTACTGGGGTTCACGCCGGATATTCCGGAAAAGAGATTGGTGGAATCATTGGCACGCTGGAGCGTATCTGGTGCAATCATTCGCCTAACGCCACGTCGTCTTAATAGTACGAAGACCAGGACAGTGATCACTATGATTGCGAGAAAGGTCACGGTTCCCAAAGTTGCACCGATGATGACGATCGTTTTCGAGTCTGTACTCATTCCGGAGGAAACAGCGGGGCTCGGGACGGTTAAGGAAGTAGATCTACAAAAAGTCACCGAAAAGTCAGATGCGAGGCATGTTAGTATGAAGAAATTCAATGGGTGACAGACTGAGATGGTAAATTTGATTGTCCACCACTTTTCGATGCCACAGTACTGTGTAAAATCAGTCAATCAAATTGTCAGAGAAAAGTTGACTCACCTAGCTGGTGGAGCAGTAGCTGAATTGAAGATGGTACCAGTCGTTTGTTGGGATCTATCTTGAAGTTTCATTTTCTCTCTTGTCAACAACAATGATAAGAGCGGCGTACCCAGAGTTTGAAGCACCTTCAGAAGGAATAACCTGCAAGTTTGTACTATTACTGATATTCATCCCATCATCGGGTGTGGTTGTCCTATTTGCATAGTTAGCGTACAGGCAACCGGCCTTGACAGGATAGACATTTACAACTGGTCCGCTCCTGGTACACCCACTACACGATATGTGCTATTAAAGTATTTAATCATTGAAATAAAGACTTCCTAAAGATAAAAACTCACCCAGTCTGTGTAGGTGCAGGAAATACACGGGTCTCTGTCAATCCTTGACTTTCTGTGGTCATGACAGAAAACGTTTGACTTGGTGCGTCCATCACCATT